TATATACTCACTAGATATGAGGAATGGGTGGGCGCTCATGCTGTCCAGGATGTGAAATTCTTGGCCGATAAGGGAGACTATGCAAACCTTGATTTTACCATCAATTAGCTTGTTCATACACAGGTGGAAATTTTTGTGGTCAAGTGTCATTCTTAGAAAAGCAAAATGCTTATGTGGCAAGGGAGAAAACAGATGTTTTTTAATTCTATTAGTTTGAGTTAAAATTGCACCAATTTAGTTACACTAGAGGTAAAATTACACCACAAAATACTTTGAAGTACTACGCGTGTCTTAAAAATAGTTCGGGATACTGTACGCATATTAACTCTTAAAATTTTCACAAATCAAGAAATGTAAGGTAAGTTATTAAATATGCTTTAGATTGATATACGTTACTTATTTTATTCTTATTAAAAAATATGACTGGAAGATTATCTCTTGTCTGTTCTTAGTTAAAACTCTCTTTCAACCTTACCGTAAGGGGTAAAAATGAAAAAATTATCATCAATTATCCTGTCAACCTCTTATATCTTGCATCAAATTTTTCTAAAAGAATTTTTTATCTCAGTGATTATATGTGTAGTTCAATTCTATTCTTCCGGTTCTAAATATAAGAGTCTTATACACACTAATATAAGAGTCTTATATTTAGGACCGGAAGAGTATGTGTTGAATACTTGATTGATTTTAAATTACCATTTTCTTTTTTATTATCCCTTTCATTATAAACTTTGAGTCAAAGATTTGAATCCGTCCATCAGCTTAAGCTCAACGGTTCGTTCCCTATGATTAGACCGCCTACATGGTTTGGCCGTTTTGAGCCGTTCAAAATTGGCATTTGAGCCGGAATACGGAATTGAACCGCAAACTGGCACAGGTTGAATAAAACTGAACAGGTTTGAGAAAGACTAAAACACAAAAGAAGAGAAGAAGATTATGAAGATGAAGATGAAGATTACACAAACAGAGCACAAACCATCCTTTGAAACAGTGAAGACAACGAAGATCTAACCGAAAAAGAAGATGATTTATATATCCGGTGCGTGAGCATGAGGAAATTGTGATTCACCCATGACCCAGTGAAACGAAAAGAAAGTAAGAATGTCCCATGAGCGATGGTCGGTGAAAAACAATGAGAGAGAAGAGAAACCAAGATAAGCACGAATTCTTGATCTTGCCAATAACTAATGGTTTTCACCCATTCCAATGCATAAACTGACTAGTCTATTTGGTTAAGCGGCAGTAAAAATAGCTTTTAGGGAGTAAGAGTCGGGTTGTGTTAATTTCATGTTTCACATTATGTTTGAATACAAGTCATTTTGTCTAAAAGAATCATTCAAGTCAGAAGCTAATTTTTATGGTATATACCTCGTCTTATTTATGCGAAAGTTGCTTTTCAAAATCAAAAAACATTTTTATTCCTATATTATGTTCTCCTCGTACTCTCTCTACATATTTATCGTGTTTTTCAACCCATTTTTAGTTATTTATTTTTATGCTATTTTAAATAAAAAAATTTTAATAAAAATTTTACTGCACTTTATATTATTTTTATTTTATATTTACATAAATTATGTAGCGTATATCATCCAATTAATTACATAATATTATTTGGTTAAAAAATTCTTGATTTCTAATTTAAACACATTTTGTTCATTAAATATTTTCAAGGATCATTTTGATCCACTACTTAAGGTTATAAGTAAAGCCAGATTTCCAATATGTGTAGGGAGCTAGGATTATTGTGCTAGCCAGTAGCCTTTCAGCGTAGTGTGTTGACAACATTTATGTGACCATGTTTCTATATGACTCTATAACTGCTGTGTCCTTATTTTCAAGAATCATTCCTGATCCACAACTTATTGGAGTCGTAGCTTTAGGCGGTTGTGTTTGCTTATGTGTGTATCTGTTAAGACTATGATAAACTAATGGTATTTGTGTCCAAGGCTGTATGTAAATTCAGCTTGTATTTCAGTTTAATTCATACTGTTGAATGCGCAAATGAAAATCCAACAATGTTGAATAGGTAAGACCTTTTACTAATAAAAGTACGCATTTCAGACTGACCAAAAAAAAAAAGAGTACAGAGTGAAAAATACACAATGAAGGATGTCTTTATCCACAGTGAAAGGTACATGGTGTAGAATTTAATAGAGATTGCAAAAAACTTAAAGTAGATAATGAAATGGTATTCAACATCCTATTTGTCGTCATCACTGTGGACGAAGCCTAACTCTGGACCGATGCTTGATGATGGAGGTAATGTAAGTTGTGAACTTTGCTCAATATTGGGAAGATATCACGGCAGGCCATTTAATGATGCTCTTGGCTCCTGTAATGTTGCATCAGTAGTATAGGTTATCCTTCTGTAAAACGTTGCCACAGATCCTTGTCTTCGCCTTTTATGGATAGGTGCACTATTCATAAATGTTTTAGAGAACAAGTCAAATGTTTTTAATGGTTCTCCTATTCTCCATGGCATATATTCTAACTCTAAGGTGCTCGGTATGGTACCATAACATTCTGATGTAAAAGCCATGGTCTCTCATTTGGTATGGCTTCGCAAGTTCAAAGTCATGGCAGTACAAGCCCTCATTCCTGATAACTCCATAGATGCATCTAAGAAGTAAATACAGAGGTTCATACCATCTAGGTGATTCGACGGGGATTCCTCCACTTTGAACAGAAGCCTTCTATTGCATGCAACTTCATGTCAAATGAAGCAGATACATTGAGATGGCCACAACAAATGTGAAGAAAGGTGACACCATTGCATCTGCAACCCCTAAGAAGGGAAGAATGCCGCCTCCATGAAGTTTTCAGTTGAAGTTTCAACTGAGGTCTGCTTGTAGTCTTGTTGGTTTTTTTTGCATGTAGGAAGTTGATAAGGTGACTGCATCTATTAAGTGGTGACAATTTTTTTATAGAGTTGGTTTTGAATAAGTTTGTTTAATTGTGTGTGTTTTTGGATTAATAAATTATTGATAAGCCTTTGAAATAATAGAGATAAAAAAATTTTATAACCTTTTGGTGAGCTGTAAGCAGTGAACAATGGGGTTCCTGTTGACTAAAATAATGGATGACACATTCTGTTTTTTGGATGGAGTTATTCACTATCAATACAAGGTTTATGTTTCTGGGTTTAAAGTGATGTTAGGTAGATACCAAAATGTTAGGCATTTTGAATAAACAGAGATAAAAATGTTTTGTAACCTTTTGGTGACCTGTAAGTAATGAACAATGCGGTTCCTGTTGACTGAAACAATTAATGACATGTTCTGTCCAGAGATGGAGTATTCACTATCAGTACAAGGTTTTATGTTTCTAGGTTTAAAATGATGTAGGTAGATACGTAATGTTAGGCATTTTGAATAACCAGTGATAAAAAGTAAACATAACCTTTTTGACCTATGAGTAATGAACAACATTGTTCCTGTTGACTGAAGCAATTAATGACATGTTCTGTTTTTGATGGAGCTATTCACTGTCAGTAGAAGGTTTATGTTTCTGGGTATATAGTGATAGAGGTTAGGTAGATAATGTAATGTTAGGCACTTTTTACAACTTTCATCTGAATAAAAAACTTTGAGAACCGTGTAATAAGTCAGGTGAACATGTGATATCGTCAAGCATCGAAAACATGTTATTGGCAACGATATTTCCCTTGTCCAAGTCAATATTCTAGGACGAACTTTATGCTTTTGCCTTGTACAGGTCAAAAATTGATTTATAAGCCTTAAAATTGTTGTCTTCTCTATCTTTAGGTTTTCATAATACATTGCATCTCCACTCTGTGTATTTATTGCTGTGTAGACTATCATTTTAAAGTAGTTTCTTTATTGAGTAAATGTTGTTGTAATAGCTAGCAGAGACATTTGAAATTGTCCTATTTTCTCTAACAGTAAGTTAATATTTAAAAAATTAGTGCTTTACCTTATCAGTGAGTTGTCAATATTGAGATTTCACCCTTACACATTCGTGCGCATTGTGCAGAGTGTCACTTTTTTCACTTCAAGTATAAAGTCTGTTAATTGCTTAGTTGAGTTTTATTAAATTATGTGCATAAGTATATATGATGATTAGATAAGTTCTGCTTAATGATGCCTTGAACTGACAATGAATATTATCATGAACCTCAGCTTCCATCTGTAAGTGAAAATGAACTGCTAATGTGGGTGTCTTTAGTTGCCATATTATATAACTGACGTTGGAATTCTTTTATCTGTTCATTTCCTCTGCATGTCCACATCTAAATAACTATTACTTTTAATCTCTTTATAAAGTGATTATTCATTATTGATTATTGATCAACCCTTATTTCACAGTTGTATTTTAAGATCATTAAAATGGATTCATTATGTGAATAGTAAGGTGTTGGTGTTAAGAGATTAAAAGTTAGAATTTCATCTAGAGTTCTAGGCAAAAACTTCTCATCCAAAGGTTTAGAGTGAATGCATTCTTCTCAATCTTAAGTTTCATAGTTAGCATGTAAGAGTCATTTTCATATAGGTTTGCAATCAATGCAAACCTTCTCATCTTTTTTGCAGTGCTTATGTATATGTCCTTTAGCTTTGTCATCAATATTTTTCATTAGCCTCGCATACTCTTAGATGGAATAGTATGTGATTTTTTTTAATACAAGTGTACTTCACATGCCATGCAGACAAAGCATATGTGTTCAGCATAAACGAATCTTTATCCAGCCTAATATTTGACTTGACAAAAGGATGAATTTCCCAAGAAAAACTACTTGAATTTGAATTTTGGTCAATTAGTGGGAACACATGAATTTGTTAGACAAAAATTCATGATTTCAAGTATTGATTTCATTTCAATTTCAAAGTCAATTAGGACGGAAGAAGAGTTAGCAGTACTGATTCAAAATTTACCTGATCGCTATATAAGACGTATAGCTCCTCTTACTTCATCACCTATATCTAGTTTGAATTCCAATTCCGGTTCTTACTGCAATTCCAGTTTGAATAGTCCACCAATTAACAATGGTAAGACTTTCTCTTTTGAAAGATCTCAATGAAGACACCGATAGGTGGTCCATCCGTCTAAAGGTTTTTAGGAGGTGGGGTGTTTATCAGAAAACTTCTCCTAATGAGCTGTTCTGCATTACAATGATTTTAGTTGATGAAGTGGTGAGTGACATAGTATCCCATTTATTTAATAATCAATTCTGCCTATACAAATTTCAGAAGGTCGAACAGTATATTCTTTCTTGTATGAATTTCTTTTATTTACTTAGTGTTATACACTACTCAAATATTAACTCCATTCATTCATTTTACAAGGTGGTAAGATCCAAGCAAGTATTGTGGCAAAGAATTTACTACCTCATTTCAGAGATTCTCCAGTGGAAGGGAGGATATACTTTGCTAATTTTGTTGTGTCACATAATGTTAATCAATACAGGGCTACAAATAGCCCTTTCAAGATAACATTCGCCCAACAAACTTACATGAGAGAAGAGAATTGCAATATACCTCATGTGGCGTGCTTCTTTTTCCCTATTCCTGAAATCCCAAAGTGTACCAAAACCAATCACATAGATTATTTATTTGGTATGTTATGCATGATTCCATGTCTTAGATTCTAGCTTCCAACTTGACCATGTCATTTTATATATATCTATATCTATATTTATTTATATTTCATATTTATATTTTATATTATCTTTATATTCATAATCAATATATTCATAATCAACAGTTTTGTATTTCTTTTTTTTTTTTTTGGTTATCAGATGTTGTTGCTTTTGTCCACTCTATTGGTTCTCTTGAAGAATATAGGAAGGACAATGAGACCAAGCACAAGCTGCGCATGGTCTTGATTGATCAAGAGTAATTGACTTATTTCCAGAATTGTGTCAAATATTATATAAAATTTAGAGTAAAATGTATTGACTACCCCTCTATTTTACTTAAATTACAAAAATCTCCCTTTATTTTGAAAATATATATAAACTTCCCTTCAAATTAAAATGTATGTTACACATACCTCTCTTATATTTTTAAGATTCAATTTCCATCCATCCAACTGTTAGTTTACTGTTAAATTTGACTTTTAAATTTTTATTTTGACCAAAATATCCCTCTTTAACATAAATGTTATTTAAATATTTATATCTTTAAAAAAATAATTTTTGATACAATAAAAAATAATTATAATGCATGTATTTTCAAAATTTTTAATATGTTATAAAATTTTTAATTTCAATTATATTATAGAATTATATAATTTTATTTCCTCATGAAATATTGAAAATTAAGATTTTTTAAATGGCTAGAAAATATTTTGAATGCATATTTTTTCATCACATAATATAAATTATGCCATTTTGAAAACTTATATAAATCATTTAAATTTATGTTTGCATTAACTAAATTACTTAATTTTTAGCCTAATACAATAAAAACATTAAACAAGCAACAATTTTCAAAAATAAAATAAATAAAATAAAGGTAAAAGAAAAAATCTTAAATTCTTCAATATAGTTTTAACCAAAATTTTGAGATTTAGTATTATGAAGGGTAATTTAGCAAATAAAAAGTATTTCAATATAAATTTGAATTTAAAAAACATCTTTTTGAAATATTCTTAACAGAGTTAACAATTTTTAACTATATGTTTTCAAAATAGAAGGGAGGTCTGTGTAATCAAGACAAAATACAAAGGAGGTTATAGTATTTTACTCAAATTATTAATATTATTCGACTTCTTTATTAATTGTTGACAGTGATACTGACGTGGAATGTATTCTATTTGATGAGTGTTCAACAAATACTGACACTGCTTATTTGAAGAATATGGAGACACCTGTTTTAGTGGTTATTAATCTTGATAGAATTGGTTTCTTTGAAGATGGTATGTAGATCAATGATCAAATAAAATGGCTCACTGTTATTTCATATCAAATTTATAATATGAAGGCATTTGTAGTATAAGTACATGAATTTGTATTGATATTTATGATGAATTAAATAATGTTTTAGGACGACCTCAAATTTGTAGCTCATTCTACAAGGGTTTTCTTTAACCCTATGCTGCCAGTGGTTAAGGAGCTCATAAAAAGGTATGAAACTTTCACTGAATATAGTTTTACTATTTGACTTCACATGGAGATATATTGGTTAACGTTTAATCATTTTGGTTTATATAGTGCAAAGGACAAGTTATCCCCCAGCATCTCGATGCTGTCTCAACAAATTCCTTCTCAATCTTCCCAACCTTTGGTTGCATGTATGGTCCAGAATAACAAGAGGATGGACATAGTACAGATTGAGCTTAATGCAGGGGTTGGTAATGTATCCTGATATGCAAACATGTGAAGGGTTAAAGTTTGAACACGTAACCCATGCAATTTTTTTTTCAGGATGAACCTTTTATTGTCAATTGCAGAGTTCTAAAGCTTGAAACACATTATGGATGGACATACGATGGCTGCACAAAGTGTCGTACAAAACCAAAGGAAGAGAATGGATCTGCATACTGTTCAAACTGCAAGAAGAAGCCGATAGCAGTTGAGCTAAAGCAAGCAATTAAAATGAAATTATTACAAATTATTGACCATCACTTCATCAGTTAAATATACTAATATGGCTAGGGAATATGCTCAGGTTGAAAGTCCATTATGTTGTTGGAGAGGATACTGGGAAAACATCTGTGATATTCTGGGATAAGCTTGCTGTCCAACTTTTTCAGAAGAATGCATTTGAGATGAAAGTTATACTTAAGCAGGTTTGCTGTAGGCAAAATTTTCATGGTTTGTCATATATCTGAATTTTTATGCACAATAATAGTATATGGGCTTTTCCTTATGTTATGTCAACCTAATTATTTAAATTGCTTCTCAGGAGGATCGTGAGTATGATTTCCCTTATGACCTTGATGAGGTAGTTAGAAGGAAGATGATTCTCAAGCTGAAATTGAATGATTATAATAAGAGGCACCCCCACTCAAGCATAAGCGTTGTCCAATACACTATTTGTGAGGATCTTTTGCCACAGTTCACCCAAGCTGAGACTGATATACGACAAATTGATAAGCCTGATTGATGTTAACCTTTACGTAAAAGATATTTTCACTGCCCAGTGTAATGAATCAATTTGTTATGAATCATGCAGAATGAAGATCTTCCTGAACAAGTCCCACAGGTTTAAAAAAGTTAAAATAATATTTTTTTTCCAAACAATAGTATTATTAATATCGTGTATTTATTAGTAGTTTTAGTAGTTTTTTTTTTAATTATTGGATGTCATGTTTATGCAGTCTAACATAGAGGATATTGATGAGAGTAGTCCAGCATTTGATAGTAGTACAAATACAGAGAGCTTAACGAACCATGCAAATGCACAAAAAAATCAAGATAATGTGACATTAGCAGATATATCTAAGGAAGTATCTGCTTCATCAAACAAAGGAAAAAGGAAGACTGCTCAAAAGAGGACCCCAACTGCCAATGATCGTTCTGTCAACACCAATGATCCCTCTTCTTCTGACACTGATCAGAGGATTGTGAAAGTAAAGCAAGAGAAGAAGTAGACTGTTTGCTGATATGGGCTCTACTTATATGTGTTAGTTTAGCTAATGTGTGATGTCCCAAGTATTTGTACTATGCATGTTTCTCAGTTTTTGTTTTAAAGTTATGTTTAAGTAGGCCAGTGTTAATTAATATTGGTCCCAATTCAGTGTACCAGAAGTGAGAACTTCTTTGTCATTGTATGGTGCTATTTATGATCAATGTTATTTAATCTTTCTCTAATTCCTTTTTGTAGTGTGCTATCTATGATCAAGACATTGTCCACCTATTTTTAAATACAAAATCCATATGTGATTCTCTTGAAATAAAGAAATTAGCTTATCAGAAACAAAGTCCACAATCATTCTTTTTACAATTGCCCCTTTTTCTCAATTTATTTAAAATCACTTTAGAAAATGCAAATTCTACTCAGATAGCTCAGTGCATTGAAGGACAATCATTGTGCAATTAATTCACACTTTAACTTGATTAGGCCACTAGCTAATCACATCACAACTCATAGGTCCGTTTATGGCCATGCTCCGTCACACAAAAGCAGCAAGTTAAAAGTAGCCAGAAACCCAACCTACATATATCAAAGATGCAAACAGAATAGTCAGGAGTCTAATAATGTGAAGAAGGCCAATCCACATAAAAGGTTAGATTTGATTAGTTTAGAATATTTGGATCTCACCAACCCAAGGCGATCAAGATGAAGGAGCTCATACACACTTAGGACGAACCTCATAGCCACATTCAAGACACCGGTAGCCACAGCTAAACATTACTATCATTATAATATGAAGTCATAATCATAAACTTTTCTAGTCAGTATATTAACAAAATATGATATCCAAAAAGTTTTCGATGGACCCACTATACACTTATCTATTCTTGGTTTAAAAAAAAAAAAGCTTATGTACTGGGTTAGTAGTATTCTTTACCAAAGTATCTTAGATGGGGTGATATATAAATCCTTGATTTTTATTATTGCACTTTAATATAGCATAATCCCTTAAATGAGAAGGACTGCAGTGGGTGGGCAAAAATTCATAGCATCAAATATTCTATGAACAGTCGCCATCAAATATAACATATTGGTTAACTATATATGCCTGCAAAAGATACTCATATGAGTTGTGAGTAGAGAAAGATGTCCTTTTATGAACCTACACCGTAAGGAGACAAAAGAATCAAAGGTGCATCACATTACTTTTTTAAGTGATGTCAGTTAAAGTGGATAATAAATGGTGGCCAAGAAAGCCTAAAAGTGTTTGTGTTTCAACATATTTGTGAGGCTTCAATGGAAGGTTTTGACTAAAAATGAATGAATATAACTTGTCCAACTATGAGGACTACAAAAGGCAGGAAAAGTACATATAGAGTTTTTTTTTCTAAGTCTATTAACTCTTCCTACCACGTCTATACTTTTCCTATATTTTTGTCATTTCTAAAACATGTAGTCCTAGTTTATGAACTTAGACCGTAAGGAGACAGAAGAACTAAAGGTGCATCACATTACTTTTTTAAGTAATGTCAGTTAAAGTCGAAAATAAATGGAGGCCAAAAAAGCCCAAAAGTGTTTGTGTTTGATCATATTTGCGCGGTGTCAGTGGAAGGTTTTGATTCAAATGGAATGAATGTAACCAGTCCAGCAATAAGGATCACGAAAGGTTGGAAAAATACATAGTGTTTTTTCATTCCTTCTAACTCTCCTACCATGAAATTTAACCATTTTTTCATTCTTTCATATGCAGCAGGAACAGAGAGTCATTTCTCAACCGAGTTATATTTTTTGAATCCAGTGGGAAAAACTATGGATGAAGACCATACACAACCCTCAGTAGTCAGGACTCTTGAGAATGCAGTTTCCGTTCATGGACAACACAAAAGACACTCTGCTCTGAAAGACATCATAAATGTCTCATCAAACTTGTGTGATAGATTTTCCAGCACTCCCTCCATGGGTATGTATATTGAGTTTTTGATGTTGAAATAAACTTGTCAGATGGAATCAACAAGTTCAAGTGTTACATAAGGACGTATTTGTTTTCTATTCATTTTTTACCATTGTATTTAGATGAATGTGATATGTAATAAGGGAAACTAGTACTAATTCCTTCTACAAGTGAAACCAGAAAAGTCTTCAAGCACGCAAAGATGCAAGAATATTAATAATTATGGTGATGAAAATGTGTTTGAGTGTAAAAGTGCGAGGTACAAAGCCTTTGAGAATTATATGAGTAGAGTCCCAGTGATAGATTCAAAACCATTTCTGTTGTGAAGCAGAAACCTCCAAGTTTGGTTCTACATATCATGTTCATCCATTTACATAGAATTCAATGATGACTGCTCTTTCAACTAACTTAATCTTTTATTGATGCCAACATCATGTGTAGGCTCTACGAGAAGGAAGAAAGATGATATCAAACAAATGAAGTCTATAAATTCAAATGGTGACACATTAACTAATAATTGTCAATCTTCATCTGAAGCAGGGTTCTATATTAGGACCAAAAAACATACAAATAACCCTGTTTCAATTCCACATGAAGACGTTGATTATAGGGATGTATCTTTCTCATTCAACGAGCATGAGTCCGCGTCTGATGGTATAGAAGATAATGAAGATATTGATATATGTGGTGAGTCTTTTAGTTAATATTAAATGTTAAATTCTTTGTTCTATTTTATTAGTCGGAAAAAATGATTTAGTGTGTACCTTGTGCAACACATTTGGAAGTGGCCTTTCATACAGAATCATTCCTGCATGGAGATATTATAAATCAACAGAATAGCCTAACTCAAGGAATGGAATCACATGTCGATTTGCTAACTTGTCAAGGTCCGTTTTCCTAGATTGTCATGGTTAAACTTATATAGACTTCTTAACGCTCACAATAATAATTTTTCCAAAGCCAAATATTATTCTTTTGTAATAGATTACATTGATGAAGGTGATCCAATATGCAAATGTCATCATTGTGAGGCTATGCCTTGGTTTAATGAAAGGGTGAAAAAGGACACCAACAAGAATAGTAATACATTCTCTATGTGTTGTCTAAAAGGAAAGGTCCAACTACCACCAATGCAGGCACCACCTCTAATACTGCATAGATCGTTCTTCAATAAAAGCTCATCAGATTCAAAGAACTTCCATGCAAATATCAGGCAATATAACAACATGTTCTCTTTCACATCTTTAGGAGGGAAAATTGATCATTCAAAGAATCTGGACCTTATTCATTTGTCATGCATGGAGTCAATTATCATTCAATTGGTAATTTGTTACCCATAGATGGTGGTAAACCCATTTATTCTCAACTTTATATCTTTGATCCCGAACATGAAGTAACTAATCGAATAGCGGTTGTCAGGTATATCCCTCTAAAGAAACATATACTATAATGACCTTGACTTCTATTTCTGTATTATGTGAACTTACCTAAAGTATAATTGTTGAAGTAGTCAGCACCAAGCTCAGTCAACAATTGATCTTGAAATTGTTACAAAATAAAGGAGGTGCTAGACTTGGTCAATCCTTTTGTTCAGCAGTATCGAACTGCATCATCATTGATTAGGAACCATCAAGCTACAAAGATGAAACTATGCTTGATTAGTAGTAGACAGCATGATGGTCATACTTTTAAAATGCCTACAGCCTCATAAGTTGTTGCATTATTAGTTGATGATATAGATATGAGCTTCAGTGTCAGGGATGTCATTATTCGATAGATTTCTGGATCAGTTCAAAGAATTACTGAATTACATGCTGCACATCTGCCATTAAAATAACCACTTCTTTTCCCTTTTAGGGAAGATAGCTATAGACATGATGTTCAACATAGACAAGTAATGCTTACTGTAACTGAAAAGAAGAAAAGGCTTAGTATGAGAGAGTATTTCACATATAGATTGATGATAAGGGAGAATGAAATATCTACATTGTTACATGCTAGGAGATTACTGCAACAATTTGTAGTTTATGGTTATACTATAATTGAATTGCAAAGATTGCTATGGGTTAGAACTCACCAAAAAGAATTAAGGGTTGATCTATATCAAGGATTGTTTGACTCTTTGACAAATGGTGAAAGAGACACATCATCAATGGGATGATGTATCATACTTCCTTCATCATTTACTGCTGGAGCACGATATATGATAATGAATTATCAAGATGCAATGGCTATATGTAGATGGGTAGGATATCCTGATATTTTCATAACATTCAGTTGTAATCTAGCATGGCCAGAAATTACAAGATTTTGTAAGAAATACAACTTACAACCTTCAAATAGACCTAACATTCTTTGCAAAGTATTCAAAATGAAGCTTCAATCCTTACTTAAAGTTATCAAAAAGAGTAAGCTCTTTGGCAGCACTAGGGCAGGTATAATATATCCTTTCATATGAGTTTTTTTTGTTATCATAACCCTTTCCATAGACTATGGTTAAATATATTAATTAATAATACTATGTGGATTTTTTTTCAGAGGTTTACACAATTGACTTCCAAAAACGGGGCTTACCACA